GAAGCATTAAGAAATGCATTTAAAAATGTTAGTTCACATAATATAACTGGCACCAGTCTAAAGGCTGCAGATAATATGATAGGTGATGATAAAATAAGATGTATAATGATATAAAGAAATGGAAAAATACATATCAAGATTTCTTATCTCTCAAGCTAATTTATAAACAGCATAACTGGACTTGCCCACCAGACATCATTTTCAAAAATGTCTGAAAGCAGCAGGAAGCAGAAGGCTTCAAAATTTTCCTTTTACCATCCACAATTAGCCCAACCCTGTAGGGTGCCAGAAGTCCTCAATTCTCACTGAGATCAGGGTTAAACAGCAATTAGAATGAGAACCACAGGTAAAAGGTGTTGAAGGGAATCAGTGTGTCACATGATCAGGGCCACTGTGTTTACTAAGCCAGAGAGCTCAGTTAAATGCAAACTGCAGTGATGATAGAGCTGTAACTTCGAAAAAAAAATCACACTTGCACATAGCATATTTTCCTTACTCCTTGGTGCCTGTTTCCTGCAACCACATTGATGCAGCTCATTACTGGTGTGGAACTGTGTGTGAAAACATTTCTAAACCATCAGTGATGATGCTGACACTCTAGTCAATGATATCAAACGTATGAAGTAACACACAAAATTTCCTCTGTTTACCAGACATTTTTAAAAAGGGATGACTCACATCAATACATACAGGTGACGCATAATTCAAATATTTATCATGCCAACAAGGTTTAATTTTGTTTGCTTCAACCTGATCAAGGTCAGTGTAAAACATTTTGCTCCTTTAGGGTATATACAGGCATTTATCTGTAATGCTACAAAGTGTATCAGCACTTTGTAGCACTACAGAAATGTAATGCTAATGGAGTGTATAGGTGAACTCCAAGGTGAGATCTCCAGTCAGAGGGCAATAGAGGGCTGCTTCTCTAGTTCCCCTGTGCCTAGGTGAGCTTAATCATTGCTGGAGAAGGTGGTAGGCTGTCACTGAACAACTCTGCCCAGCAAGCCCATGTGGCCAGCAGAGCTGCAGTATGGGTTGCACAGAGCTGTGGGTGCCCAAGCTCCACCTATCAGTGCATGAGACCCCCTCCTGCCCAGTTTTGCCAATCAGCTGAGGAGCAGAAGCGGGAGCTTTGCTGCCTGCAGTGGCTGTGGAGTCAGCAAGGTCCCAGAAGGGCTCTTGGACTGCCCACCACTGGGCGGGCTATCAGGGAACTATCTGCTCTTCCTCCATGTAGGAATGGAGAAGGAAGAGCAGAGGACTTTGGGATGCTGGGGGTCCTGGAGACCCCGTTGCACTATGTGTAACTCTATATATGTTACATGTAATGCTACAAAACTGCAGAAGCTGTATCTTGCACCACTTCCAAGGTTTTTATCATGCAACAAACAGCTTAAATGTCTGTACGCTCACTGTCTGAAGCATAACAAGGATATATTCTGTATTACAGATATAACACCTGTCCGTACATTGGTTTGTGGTACCCAGGCTCTACTTAAGGGTGGCATTCTTGAAGAGGTAGATACACTCTTCCCGTCAAATGATGATTTGACAGACTTTGGCTTGGGAGCAGGTTAGTTATATGGTACCAACCACCAAAAGAAAATACCCAGTCATGCTAGAAGGACAGTGGGGGGAAGGCTGCTTGTATGACTATACGCTAGTTTGCCTAACAGTTTGCTAGGGCTGTGCGAAATAGCCCCATTTTGTTTCAACTTTCACTATGTTGTTTCAACAGGACAGTGTTTTGTTTCATTTAAAAAACACTGTTCTGTTTTGTTTTGTCAAAACTTTTTCTGTTTCAATGCTGTTTTGATGTTTTGCCCATAGGTTATAATGGGGAAGCACAAAACTGCCTATAACTTTGTCATTTCTTGCCTGAATCAGATGAAACTTGCGAGGATGTTAGCCCCTTCTGTGGCTATGATGTTTCCTGCGTTTCAAGGAGATAGGTGCAGGAGTTTATGGAAAACTGCACCTCAGAGGTTTGAAAGCAAAACTTGTGTCACATGTGTATGTTAAGGCACAGCAGGGTGAAAACTGCAGGCATGGTAACCCATGCTGAAGCCACAAAGTCTGCCAGGTTTCAAGGAGATAGCTGCAGGGGTTTCTGGGAAACTACACCTCAAGCTGCTGACAAGCAAAACTCATGTCACGTGTGCGTGTAAAGGCACAGCATGGTGAAAACTGCAGGCATGGCTAGCCCCTGCTGAGGCCATAAAGCTTGCCAGGTTTCAAGGAGATAGGTGCAGGATTTTCTGGTAAATTGCTTCTCAGGCTCCTGACAAGCAAAACTCGTGACATGGGTGACACTGTGCCTGTGTTAAGGTGCATCCTCACTGGTGCTGGGGCCCATATTCAATGTGGTAGTGTGCCCACTAAGGCCTCCTCCTCCCCTGCAGCCTTGGTCCGTGTAGCAGGACACTAGGGTGTCTGCTACTAGCATTGGTAATAGGGCTTGGCTATCAATCAGCAGGGCAGCACAGCTGAAGGTTGCTTAGGCAACAGATTGGGTCAGCTGACCGCCAAGGGGCAGGGCCTGGCCTGTATAAACAGAGGATGCTGAGGCCAGAGAGTAGTTCCCTTTGGCAGCCTAAGGAGTAGGAGCTTTGTGAGAGTGAGCAGGGCAGCATTGGCATGTGGATACGGGGTGGAGAAGACCCTGACAGAGATATGAGAGAAGATCAGCCAGGTTGGATGAGGATTTATGTAGTAGCCAGGGGCTTTGCGTTTCTGTTGTGGTTGGCGGTTGTGATTACACCGGAGGACTGGGTGAGGCTGTAGGGGTGTGAGGAGGCCTCATGGGAGCTCCCCAGGAGTCTGGGGGTTCCTGGGTGCCCTGTTTGGGCACAGCAAGCAGTGCCTGGGAGGCATGGCTGTTTGGCACTGGTGTGGCGCTGCATGTGGGGTATTAAGCCCCAGCCTGTGAGGGCGGTACTTGCCCAATAGGGCGTAGGACCCTGAGAAGGGTCAGGGGGCCAGGCACGGCGGTGGGGCACCTGAGCCCTGTGCGTGAGAAGCGTGGGACAGGCCCAGAGAGGGCGACGAGTGTGAGGTGCACAGTTTACAGTCCAGAGTAAGGCCAAGTGCATGGTGAAAAGTCCGGAGAAGGACAGAGCGCGTGGTGAGAAGCCTGAAGAGGACAGAGTGTGCAGTTGAGAAGCCTGGAGAAGGGCGAGGGGGGTGAACAGAAGCCCAGGAAGGGCGAGTTTTCCAGAAAGGCCCCAGAGAGGGGGCGAACATATTGGGCGCGCACACTGAGGGACCCCAGAGAGGGGGTGTGCGAATTAAGGCAAGCCCAGGGAGGGGCCAGCATATAGGCATAAGAACATCTGGTTCAACTGTGAGGCTTGGGGCATGCTACAGGGGAGGTAGGAGGCACGCGGAGCCCATAAGGCAGGGTGCACTAGTCCAGAGTAGGGCCAGTACGAGAGCGCCGTGCCCAAGGGGACGGAAGGCAGCCTCCCACTGATAATCATAAGATCAAAGACGTGGTGGGCGAGACGGAGGGTGCATTTAGGACCCAGACTGTGGCACGGTAAGGGCGCCAGGGGGATCACGGCCGCCCCGGTGCCCTGCCCCGTGACAGAGTGGTGCATTGGCCGGGAAACTGGCCGTGCATGGGCAAGAAACCCGTGTCCCCAGAAAAAGGAAGTGAACCCAGGACTAAATAGACGGATGTGTATAGCAAAGGAAGAGTGCCACAGCTTAGTGGTGATGCAAAGGGAAGACACCCATTGCTGGGAATTCAATAGGAAAGACTGAGGCCTGGACCCAGGGAGGATAAGGGTAGGGCGAGTAATGTCGCAAGGAGAAATGATGTACGGCCAGAGACCGGAGAACTTTTTTGAATGGTTAGAAATGGAGGCGATGAAAGAAAAGATGGCTCAGTTAGAGTGCGACCTGGCTCTGGCGGAGGCCCAGAAAGAAAGGGCCGAAGCCAAAGTGGCAACGCTAGAACAGCAACTGTCGCCAAGTAAGAAAGAAGGGGGGACAAAAGAGATCAGGTGCCTAGTGGCAGCAGAGGCTGATAAGACGTGAGAAATAGAAAGGTTGCTGGCTCAAGAAGCTCAGAAGGGTTGAGAGAGGGAGAAAAACCTACAGGAGATGCAGGCAGAAATGGCAGACTGGATGGCACGATCTCCTGAGGGTGGTGTTGCTCAGGCAAAAGAACCATGGGAGGTGCAACAGAAATTAGAAGTAGCTAAAATCCTGATAGTCCCACAGGGGGAAATCCATAGCCAGGTGAATCAGATAGACGGTCTGCAGAAGGACCGAGAGGACTAGGAGGAGAGATGTTTGGAAGCAGAACGGAGGGTCAATCAGTTACAAGAAGAGTTGAGCGAAGGCCATACTCTAGCTGAAGAAAATAGCAGAGTTATCCTACAGGATATGGAAACAGTAAAGGCCTGTATAAAGGACTATGAAATGTTGCACGGTCAATACCAGGCATGAGAAGGAGAGTTAGAGGACAAAAAAAGGGAAAATGAAAGGCTAAGGTCTCGTGTCCAGGGCCTGGATGCAGAGAAGGATCAATTCAGAAAACAAGTTCGGTCACTGGAGACTCCCCTAAAGGACAGCCAGGTCAAAGAGGCTAACCTAGTAGCGGGAAAAGAACAGATACAGTTGGAGAGACAGGCTCTGGGATCAGAAGGGACCTCAGGGAAGGATCCCAGTCACTGGCCAGCTACGCAGTCAATATCAGAGCAGTCCTTCTCCCTCTTCCCCCTCCCTCTTCTTACTTTCTGTTTCCCTGCAGGCAAGCCCAGCTTGAGCTTTGAAACGTTTTGAAACTTTCAAAACATTTTGACTGCCTTTGTTTCATTTCAAGGCTGTTTTGATGCCCTTTGTTTTGTTTCAGACTTGCTGTTTCGAGCTCCAAGCAAGTCAAAACAGTGTCAAAAAGAAACCGCTGGTGACATTTTGTGTAGCTCTACAGTTTACTCCTTACTATTCATCACACCCAAAATAAAATGATTTACCAAGTAAGCTAGACTTACATCTGAGTCTATGCCTTGTACAACCAGTGCAGGATTCAAGGGAAGCCGGCAAACATTTACCTCTTGGAAGAATTGTTTAAGTCTGTTGATTTCCATCTTTAGCACCTCCTGTGAGATATTAATAATTATGACAAGTTGAAACAATATAACAGCAGTTTCTTAAACTGTTGACTGTCTTGCTGTATTTTAATAAAACTGCAAAATGTCTGGTCTTGGTAATAGTAGTGCAGCTTTATAATAACTAAAGGTGTCATACCACTGTATAGTAATTGAGAACTATGCTTGTGCTCTGCATCTGTGCCCTTACTGCTTTACATGCTCCATAGTGCCCATGTTGTCATGGTTCAGCTATGAAACTCTCTTCAGGGGCTCTTAAGTCTTGCACCTTGGGCTGTTTTGTCTCGTGTTATCTTTTCCCCCTCTGACCAAGCATGCAAACAAATGCTGATTTTTGGTTTATTGCCTCAGCATTGCTACCTCCCCCTTTTTATCTATGGCTGCATATTGTAAAAGGTTTGGGGGATTACATTGAACATGGCTCTCATAGCCTCTAAATTTGTCTCTGAGGTAGCAGCATATAATATAGCAAACTGCTGTCTCTCTATTTCAAAGTTTGTTTTGCTGCTCTCACTATTGCTTAAGCTTTCTGCCTTCTTTTAAAATCCTTCAGTCCTTTTTAAAGGCAAAACAGAGTTCAGACTCTTCTGTCATCCTGAAGTGATATGTCTTATCTTTATTTGGCTTTCAGGTCTTTCTAGTTGAGTTACTAACTTTTAAGGAAACCTTGCACTTTAGAGACTTGAGGTCTCCCTGCTACAGGTAAATTCACTTCAGGCAAATATATTTTGGGAAGGGGAGTTGGCTCTGAGCTTTACTTTAATTAAAAGAATGATGGGCTTTGTAATCATCACACTTGGTCACTGTTAGATGTATGTTTTGAGAAACTATGGGTATAGCGATTCAACTTGACTCAGGGGCTACCGTTTTTGAAACTCTGCTCATTAGAAATTGGTTTACTAGCAGTTGTAGCCATTATGGTTTTTATGACTGCTTCTGTAGATATGCAACACGATTCTGTGAATCTTGGTGGCCATTATATTAAGTGAATGGGTTATTGCAACTATTTAATTGCCAGGGCAAACTGAAAGATGGTAATGACCATCATACAGGTGACTAAGTCAGCCTTGCATTTAATACACCTACTAACTGGAGCTCGTGACTCAGCGTCTCTCCTCACTCCATTCCTTATACACACACACATGCAGGCTTTTACAGAGACTAGCACAAAATCTGAGAAGTTTTGATGCAGAATCTCAAGCTAGGTTATATAACAAAGAGCACTTTCAGAAGATGTGTCCTTTCAGCAAAATTAAAAGTGAATTGAACAAAACTTAGAGGGGAGGGGTGAGTTGTCTTAGCAAACCTGTCTTCTTGGATTGGTGGCAGCCTTTACTTTTTCAGCAATGCCTCCCAGAATTTTGATAAGTTTGCTCTCCTTAGAAAACTCATCATTCAGGGTTTTGCCAGCACAGAATTGGAGAGCAGCCAACAGCTTCTGATACCAGCCTTTGAAATGAGCTTCATTCTGTGCATCCTTTAACAGCCTAAAGGGAGGAAAGAAAAAAAATCTGTGTACCTAAAACTGATATTTTTATACCACCTCTAACAGGAACAATAAATACATTCCAGACTAATCTGTATTTGGTGGCTCTGGGCAGTTTAACAGCAGAGAATGAAAAAAAATGTTGTTTATTTGCAGAACTACTCAAGCATCATCTGATAACTAATGAGATTCCAAGTGTGTAGAATCAATAGGAATCTGCCATTTCTTATTGCCATCCATAGTACAGTTCCTAAGTTTCTCCTTATTTTTGCAAGGGAGGAATATATTTTCTACTTTGTCCAGTACACATAAACATATATTCACTTTTATCCCTGACTTCTACAGAAAATTTACATATGCATAAACACACCATACATCCAGTGGTGGCATCTGAAATCTACCTTGGTCTTTCCATCTCCAGATGCCTCCTTTTCCATAAGCAGCCATGGACTGCTTCTAGCTACTTTGCACAACCCTTCCTCCCAGACATATCCCAAACTTGGATTCCATCCCTCCCTCTACAATATTCCTGGTTGATCCTAGACTAGCTTCCCCTTCGTGACATGGTCACTTAAGGTCATCTACATTAAATTTACCCATTTACCTAAGGGTTAAAGGCAAAAACATGCTTACAAATACACTGACATATTGTACTTGCTATCAAACAAAAGATTTTAACTGCGTAAGTATAAGAATGTAGAAGGTTGGAGAATCTCTGGGCACCTTCATTCTTTGCACTGGTTATGTTACAGAAAAGCTACTACAGGCAAAACAGTTCTGTCTTTTGTGTTACAATCTATGCTCAAACTTAACTGAAGAATAAAGTTAGAGCAGATGGACTCTGCATATTTTTTCATTGAACTGTTTTCTTTTTTGGTCTCTTTGTTGTCTCTCTTTTTGAAGAAACTTGCCTCACTGGTGCACCTTTTGCCAAGTAACCAAACCACCACTTCAATGAAGAATATCGTCACCTGCTGGTTTCTGACACACCTTTCCAATAGCATAAACAATCTGGACTTTTGCTGCAATCTCTGAAAGTCTATACAGTATTTCTGGCAAGTGCCTAGGCACAAAAGAGAGAAGATCTGAGAAGTCTTCATCCTCACTTCTCACAGGAATCTAAAATGACACTTAGCATAGCCTAGTAAAAGCATACAATTGCATTTTTGTCTGGGAGAAAATTTGAATGTCAGTACACTGTCATGTGGAATGTGCTCAAAGATGCACATGATTTTTGTGGCAAAGCTTCAGTAGAAAGGACGAGGACAGAAAACTTTTCATGCAGAAAGGGCCGGTGTTATGAGGGTTGCCATGTTTCAAACAGAATGCTTAATGCCTAGTTTCTGCCACACAGTACTTCCAGCAAAACTTGGAGTGCATCAGTAATCAGAATTCCATGATGGCAGAACACCTCCCTTTTCTGCCTGCAAAGTCATATCACCTCTCCAGAGCAAAATAATTCTTGTTGTCATCCAGGAGTCGGCAGAGGGCCGGTGTAGACATTTCTGCACCTTCTGCTAGCTTTAGCAACCTGTTCATCAGCTGGTGCCTTTCCAGGGCGAACTTCATGCTTTGCTGGCATGGACTGATCATGGTGCAAGGACATGTACATGACCTAGAGGCTTAGCAGTGGCAAGTGTCATCTATTGCCAGAACAAGATAAGTAGAGACAAAGCCATGAACTCCAGAATGTGTCTTCACATGGATACATTAAGAATTAGGGACAAGGAAAATCATTGTCTCTTTTGACCTGTGGGTTTACTGTAGCCCAATGTAGGCAGAATTAAGTTTGATGGCAGCTTTGTTGTAAAAAAAAAAAAAAAAAGCTTTTTGCACACAGTGCTGCTGGGATTAAGCAAGGTAGTTTTTATTGCAGTTAGAAACCCCCTTTTAATTTCTAGCCTAAAAGTATTGGTGGACAATTTATACACATTATCCTTGCACCAACATTATGCTTCAGCTTAAACAGCAATTCTGCCTCTCCTGTGTTTAATCCCCTAACGCATCCGTTGAGAGGAGATATGATTACTTTGCTTTATTTATTTATTTTCTTGCTAGGCTTAATAAACTTTTAATTTCCTTCATGAGACATGCTCTTCTGGTCATCCCATTCTCCCAAGTTCTTATTGATCCCTAAATATATGACCAGTTTACTTGTTTATTAGTTTCCATTCCAGATCCATTAATTCAGTCCTCAAAGTTAAAGCCCCCACCCCTCCCCCCAAAAATGAGGAACACACAGTTAGCAGCCTGGGGTGAAAATTTTGATTCAAGTTCCTGGGACCACACATGAAGGGATTCTGTGTCAGGAGCAGAGATCAAATCCAATTTTCTAGCACCACATTCCAGTATGTTAAACCTGGGGTGATCTTCCCTCTTCCTGCCATCCCCTGTCTCATTCATTTTGCAATTAGGGCTGTGCAAAATGGCACCATTTTGTTTCGATGTCCATTTTGCCACTTTGCCGGGACAGTGTTTTGTTTTGAGTTTCATTTCGATTTGAGTTTCATTTTGGTTTGAAGTGTTTCATTTTGATGAAACTGTTTCACTGTTTTGACACTGTTTCAACGTTTCTCCCATAGGCTATAATGGGGAATCATGAAACTGCCTATAACTTTGTCATCTCTTGCTTGCTTGAAATGAAATAGCAGGGAGGGTAGCCTGTGCTGAGGCCACAAAACCTGTCAAGTTTCAAGGAGATAGGTGCAGGGGTTTCTGGGAAACTGCACCTCAAGCCACTGACAAGCGAACTCATGACACGTGGGACTGTATGTCTGTTAAGGCATGCCTTCACTATTGCTGGGGCCTCTACATAACATGGTAGTGTGCCTCAATGAGGGCTCCTCCTCTCTTACAGCCTCAGTGTGGTCCACCACTTTAAATAACAACAGGTAAATAAGCAGCATGGTAGCACTAGCATCTCAGGAAGCCAAACTGTGACAGCCTTTCTTTCTGTTACTGCAGCATCTTCTTCTCCAGCAGCTGCCAGAGCACTCTCCCTGCCAGCTTCAGCCCTGGGGCTTAGATGTGTCCAGGGCCATGCATCCTTCCACTCAGCTGACCAGGGACAGGTGCTAGGGGTGCTGGTCTAAGGACATGGCATTGGCAGATAAGGTTCTTTGGGTCAGTCTGATATATTTTAGTAGACCAACTGAATAGTTACAGAAATATATCTTAGCATGTTTTTGGGTTAAAAAACCCTTCATCAGGCTGAAGAAGCACCTGTGGTTGGTGTGTATGCTCTTCCTGGATGGAAGGAATAGTAAAGACACCAGAGGCTGGCATGCAATGCGGGCAAGAAAGCCAGTCAGTGAAAATGGAAATGGAGGCATCAGGGGGTGAGGGACAGGCTGGGATGGCGGGGTGGAAGGGAGATGTGCCAGGTAAAAGTGGAGAGGTACCTGGGGAGTCAGATTTCTGGCAGGTTGTAGTGTGTCAGAATTCCAATGTGTATATTTAGTCCATGACTTTCTGTACCTTAGAGGTTGATGAAGTGCAGTTCATAGGTTTGTCTGTGAAAGGTGGTTTATAAATTCAAACAAGCACTGAACCACGCTAACCTCATCACCAGAAGCCAAATTCCTACAGCCCAAGATGCATTGAATGGATCCAGACTACGCCATGACAAGACATGTAAAACCTGCCAACAATGTGTCCAGTATGGAGATGTCTTCACAATACAATACATATCTCGATGAGGGCATCAAGTGCCCTGATGGAAAAATGTAGGAGACACCAAGCAACAATTGCGCACCAGAATGAACACACACTGAAAATCTATCAAAGACAAAAACACCCAACTATGTGTCTCCAATCTCTTAGGCTCCATCCTTAAAGGGAATTTACAAACCACTTTTCACAGATGAGCCTATGAACTGCACTTTGTATTTAAAAAGGAATCAATTAATATAATAACAAAATTAAAGGGTATAGAAAGCAAAAGGTATTGATGAATCCCATTTGCTAGGCTAGCAAGTAGGAAATGAATGGTAGCCTTTGCTGTCTGATGCTGCTGAGCTGCCGGAAGACAGCTCAGTAGCTGACCCCAAGGCAGAAAGCAACTCAGTTCAAACAATGTTGCCTTTTACGCTGTTTTTCTACCCCTCCGCCAGAGTACTACAATTGAAAGGGACCTCAGGGAAGGATCACAGTCACTGGCCAGCTACACAGTCGATATCAGAGCAGTCCTCCACCCCTTTCCCCACCCTCTCCTTACTTTCTGTTTCTGTGCAAGGAAGCCCAGATTTAGCTTCGAAACTAAAAATGTTTCAGAACTTTCAAAACGTTTTGACTGCCCTTATTTTGTTTCAAGGCTTTTTCGAAGCCCTTTGTTTCATTTCAATTTCACTGTTTCAAGCTGGAAACAAGTCAAAATGAAACAGCCAGTGACATTTTGCACATCCCTAATCACAATCATCTATGTTTGCAACATCTAAGGCAGTTCCCATGGAATAGTCTGAGAGCGACTAAACCAGTGTAATCTACACGTTCAGTGGGTGTGTCAGAAAACTGTAAATTATACTGGTTCAAATCTTTTATTTTAATTTATTCTTGGTTTCTTGGAGCACAATTCAGAAACCAAGTATAAATGTGTTAAAGTTTAATTCAGCTGACTCACATTCTTGCAGTACGTATTTAAAGAAACCATGGAGGCTACCTATTCCTGAGTGAGATATATTGGAGTTTGAGCAAGCTTTGTTCCTCTCAAATGCACACAAAGTCCCCTGATACCTTTTTCTTTAATAAAACAAGAAGGTTTTCAAATATCTTCTTTAGCAAGCAGACTAGCAAAACCAACTTTTTCTCTATTTTAAACAAAAACATTTCTTGTCAAAGTCATAACAATTGAGTTGATACATTTTTAGCTCATCCTTGCAGGCAAGTAGTTACAAAAAGGGAGCTTTAATAAATCTTAGCATCAACACAGAATGATGGATATTTCCTTTTAATCTAAAAAAGACCAGATTCAAGATATTCATACATTAAGTATAAACATAAGGA